ACATTAATCAAACACAACTCAAGTCATACATACATTAGTAGCACATACACAGTCACTCATTATGCAATGATGTCATGGACTCAACTCACAAATGCATGCATGTGGTGCCAGTCACATATCACATAACTGGTGTGATGCCTAAACAACACACCTAAGGTAGTCTAGGAGTACATGTAGGGAGCTACCCATACACTCTCAACTAGAAGGATGTACTGCTAGGGTTTGGTCGAGATAGAGAAGCTGCACAAGTTACGTCTCATGCCCACAAACGGGCAGAATCGAGACATCCAAACTGCACTATCCCCTAGGACCCCCCAAGCTGTTACACAAGAAGAGCCTCCCCTAACGATGTACTCCATATCATACCCGTCACATAGATGCACATGATGCATGTCACACACTCACACTTTATTAACTCATCATTTCACTTGTCATAGTTACTCATATATCATGTCTCATTGTCACATATCATGTCTCCTATCTCATATTCACTTTTCACATTGTATCATCATATTCACATAGTGACTTCTCATAGGCATATACATCAGAATAGCGTACAAACCATAACAGGAAATTATTCAACTTCATATACACATTCAATTCGCAATTCATAACATATGAAGCATAAAGGTCATAAACCCAACTTCATGATTTCACACATTTTTTTTTACAACTATAGCCAAGTAATATAATATTTTAATAGGTCAAAACACTCCAAATGTTACCCAAAACACGAATCCATCATCAATATTTTATACAATGCCTCAAAATTCATCCAAAGATCATATCGTTAACTTCACTTCATAGGTTTCCCACAAGAACCCACAGAACACTCTAATTCATATAAAAACTTTTCTATTTTTGAAATAAAACACATATTTATACTCAATTATCATCAAGGAACACAACAAAAAACTCAAAAGTCAAAACAAAAAACATTCAAAATTTGCCTATTTCTCATAGGATATCCCGTAAGAATCCATAGAGCACTCTAATCCATATCAAAAGTTATCTATTCTTGAAATTGAACACTTATTCACACTCAAAATCACACAAGAAACACAACAGAACAATCAAAAAGCAAAACAGAAAACTTTCATAAAGTGTCTGTTTCTATCGGGCTAGGATAATCCTGCTACCAACAGTTATTCTCATACCCTCAAGTGAGGTTTCTATCTCCCCCTTACCTTGTTGAGTAGAAAAAGATGAATGATCAACTCCAGGGTGATTTCCTCCTCCTTCAGGTTCTCCGAGTTCTGAAGCACGTACGTGAAAAGTGAAAAACCTAGAATCTGATATGTTCTTTTTCTCTTTTAAAAACTTAACCTCTCTTTAACCCTTTTAGTAAAAATACTTTAATCATGATTATCTTTTTCTTTCCCTCAAATATTAAAACTTATAATTAAATAATATATCTAATAAACATATTTCTTCCAATCCAAATAATTATAATAAAATACAATATTTAATAATTAACAAATATATAATATATAAAATATCTTCCAACATAATTATAATTAAAATGAAATATATAAATAATTATAATAAAAAAAATAATTTTCTTCAAATAATTATTATAATAAAATATCATAAGAATACATAGTTCTCTAATAAATATTATACAAAATAATTTCCATAAATATTTATTATTTAATTAAAATACTCATAATTATTAAAAACCTCTAAAATATTTTATATAACCCATTTAATTAATTAAATTAATTATAAGAAAATAATCCCAATAAATATAAAAATAAATAATAATTAAACTATTATATTAGTAAAAAATTTGGCATGTTACAATTTCCCCCTCCCTTTAAGAAATTTCGTTCTCGAAATTTATTGAAAACAAGAATGGATAAACTACATGCATCTTGCTCTCTACTCCCAAATAGCACTTTTCTAAATATTTCCTATCATAAAATATACTAGTAAAAAATCCCATGCAACCTAACTACCTTATTTATGTACAACTCTGTCAATCTTTTCAAGGAATGTCTAATATTAATAAGCAGTAGGAAGCATCTACTTCAAGGCAGAATCCTAGATGGTACAAGTCTACCATCCTTGTCACCTAATGGAGCATACAACCCAACACCTAGTTGCTTTAAGGGGCAAGGATACAAGTAAACACTATCTACCCGAAGAAAACAGTGTGGGGGCATCTACAATGTTGAAGCGAAAGGGAAGATTCAGAGGTGGCAACAAAAGAAGAGACATGGAACGTTCACACAGATCCCAAAGCCTAGATGGTACAAGTTTACCATCCTTGATACCCAACGGGGCATACAACCCAACACTCGGTTGCCCCATATGGTAAAGATACCGGTAAACACTATTTACTAGAGGGAAACACATGGAGGCGTTTACTACCGAAATAAGAGAGAAAACCCGGATGAAATGTCTACGTCTTTACTTGCCTTTGGAAAAACAAATGCCTAGCTATTCTAAAGAGGGGCAACTGTAAACACCCAATTTCGTCTACACCTGCAAAACAATGAAACTTCTACTATGAAAAGAAGGAGCTCCCAAAGCATAGAGATGACACCATATGACAACAAGGGAGTTTGAAGCCAAAGAAAACTTGGTTTAGTAGCCTAGAATGGGCTGTTCCAAAATTGGAATGGGTTGTTCCCAAGATGGAACAGGTCGTTCCTAAACTGGAACGAGCCGTTCAAAACTACTAAAAGGCCTAAAAACCCTAGTTGAGAATGGGCCAAAATGGGTCATTCTAGTGCAGTTTGTTATGAGATACATTCAAATCTAGAATAGGTCGTTTTCTCATTAGAATGGCCCGTTCTAGGTTCAAATTTAACTCATAACTAAATAACCCAGAATGGGCTGTTCCAAATCCAGAATGGGTCGTTCTGGTCAGGTTTGACGTCTATAAATAGTAGACTTAGGCACTACTCCCAGGGTTGGAAAAATTGCTTTAGAACTCTAGATAGCTCAAAATCTATTCTCTTCTCTCTCATTTTTGTATTTCTTGAGATCTTGTGTGGCAAATTGTAGTGTGATAGGTAGCCAAAACGCACTTAAGAAGTCTCAAGTTGGAAGATCAAATAAGAGCTCAATTACGAGGTATTTCAATCAATATTCTTCTCTCCTCTATACATCTCACCTTGATAAATATCACCCTAAATCAACCATCATCATGTAGACTTTTCAAGAATAATTGTGTAAATTTAAATTTCGCATATGTAAATAAATGTTAATAAAAAGGATTTAATATTTAATTTATTAATTCTTATCGTATTAATTTCATCGTAAGGGTATCGATTTAGGGCGTTGTGGGGGTGCTTAATACCTTCGCTACACGTAATCGACCCCCGAACCCAATTTTGGTTGTTAAGTCCATCATTGGATTTTTTGTAAATCTTTTCTTTTTCCAATGTTTTGAGTAAAACATTGATGGCGACTCCATGAACTCGTTTTCAAAACCATTAATTAGGAATTAGTCTGGTCTTCGAGCGTTCCCAAATTGATGAGATTTTTAAAAAGGTAGTCTAAACCATTTAGTTGTAAGATAAAAAAATTTTGGGTTACAACACCACCATAATATTTTCCTAAGGTCCCAATACATCGTAGTAATTCCTGGGTGAATATAAGAGTATTTCTATGTCTTTCTTCTAAGATCATCTTCTTAAATTCATGATTACTAGGCATACAATTTCTACCCTCAAACCTTAGAATACCATTAACTCCTTCTCCGAAAAGGCTATCTATACCCCTACCAATCATGTCTACTTGGTTTACTAAGAAAGGATCTAACTCCTAGGTTCCTTTAACCTCATCTCTCAATTTACTAGTCACCTCCAACATATCCAATCTAATGTTCCTAGGGTTAAGCTCACACACCAAATTAAATCTCTAAACTCCTCAATCAAATCCAACTCTTTAATCCTCAAAGATGATAGATGAAAGGTCATCCTTCTCAAGGCATCTGTTACAACATTAGTTTTACTTTTATGACCCTCTCCAAAGATACAACATCTAAGCATAGCCCGCTAGGTACATATACCAAATCTCTAAATTTTGTCATTCCATCTACATCCAAAGTAAATTTCCATCCACTATCTTGTCCTATAGCCTCACGTTTTGCCACCAAAAATGAATCATCTAATTGTACTTCTCCAATTTCCTTCAACAATCCACTAGTTACTCAAGTCATACCTAGTCTCACACTACTAGGAGTAACCTCATTAGCTAAACTCAAATCCCTAATTTGAGCCATAAGATCCATCTCTCTACTCATAATGGAAGATAAATATAGAGGTTTCCTACTCAAAGCATCGACCACCATATTGTCTTTGCCCAAATAACAACTAAAATCAAAAGCCTAGTCCTTAAAAAATTTCAACTATCCCCTTTGTCTCATATGTGACTCCTCTTGGTCAAAAAGATATTTAAGGCTCTTATGATCACTAAATAATGTTAGAAAAGAATGGCTTAATCCAAGACGGGGGTGAATTGGATTCTATGACACTTAAAAAAATTTCAGAGTTCTAAGGATCTTTATTTGAACTTAAACTTTTCTAATATGAATTCTCAAAGAAGTTCCTTGAAAAACTTGCCAATGGGAATGAGTCCTATATGCTTTCTTGATTAATCTTGATTAAGTTCAATGTTAAGAACAACTAATATGTGTAGACCCCTAAAATTGTCCGGGTCGGAAATAAAGCTTGAAGACTCTCGAAGACTGAAGGAAGATCAGCCAGAAGGACTCCTGGAAGGCCCTAGGAGGGTTCTCTGTAGGTCTAGAGGTCTTAGAATAGCTTAAAATAAGGAAGTGGAGGGAATGAAGCCCAATACGGCCGTACTAAACTTAATACGGCCGTATTGAAGCTTCAATATGGCCGCAGTGAACTCAATACGGCGTATTGAAGTTTCTGAAACTAGTAGTCTATATAAATGTATTTTGTACAGACTCTCAATAATCAAGCAATTCAATTATTATTCAAATAATATTCTGTTCCTTTTTTCAAGTAAAGTTATATTGATATTCTCAATATTTGAATGCAGAATCTAAAGATGAACTCTGTGACGAATTCTTTGCTGCTCTGGATAGAAATCACTATTTTGGGATTGTTGGGCTTGATGATCCAGAGCAACTGGAGAAAGCAAGTTGCTTATTTGATAATGCTTTTATGGTATGACATACTATTTCATGCATAAGCACATGTTGCATTTCTGGCTGACGGTGAAACTTAAAACATAGCTATTTTATTTGCTTCAATATTTAAATACCCCACATGGCTTTTTGCAACAGTCATACTTCACTCGTTACTTTATTATATTTGGTTTATTTCTCTCCTGATATACACGACTGATTTCCACTTGCAAAAAAGAAATTTGAAAATTAATTAACACTACACTACTGATTTGAAATCAGAACTCAACATGTGCTTGATTTTTTTATAGTTTTAATAGAAAGTTCTTTGCATTAACTTAAGGTTCTAGAACCATTTTTCTCGATTTCTATAACTCATAAAAATGTTGCAAGTTGAAATTCTATGCACCCTTAATTTGTTATGTCCTGCTAACCTGAGCAACTTGTGGGAGCAGGTTGGAACTCCAGAAAATAGGTGCAGTGTTGGTGTTATTGGACCTTCCCTATTTTCAAATTGTGGTTCTAATTATATGATGCTTTAATTATAGGATGGAAAAATGGTGCTGGAACTTGTTAGAGATGGTAGAGGGATGGGGAAGATGAGGACCTATATGAGAGCATGTTCAGCATAAAGGAAGAAGATAGAGAGAGAAAAATATCCTCATTGGTTTTTAGAATTAATGCATGTTTGGTTCAGCTTATATTAAAGAAACAATCACTTATTTTTGCTAGATTATTGAGAGAGTTTTCGAAAAATAACCAATTAATTTTGAGAAACAGTTGCAAGTGTGTTTGTTTAAAGAATCCCAGGATGGCTGGAGTGGGAAAGATAAATGTTTTACCAATTTGGTCAGATCATTACTGTAAATTGTAAAATAAAGATGTTTGGGAAACTTGACTCAATATGGGTGCAGAAGATCTTTGTGTTTATATTCAATAAATTATGCTAGCAGAGGACATAAATACTGTCCACATATTAGTCATATGTGTAATACACATACACTCCTTCAAGTTGGTTCATAAATGTAATCATTCTCAACTTCTTATAATCAACCCTATTTCCATGAAGGAAGATGTGCTGAAACTGTGTGTCTCACTACACCGGGACATGTTTATATATATGCACAAAAGTAGGGTGGTATCTCAACATGTTTTATTTTAACAGTTCCAACATGTCAACTTAGCTAGAGGTCCTTAGAGTAATTCAACATCATAAGTCTAAGCATAACCTCGATAGATGCAATCATTTCTTTGACTTTAACTACATACCTTTGTTTACTACAAATTGCACATTTACCAATAAGCAAACTATGCATGCTTGGGTATGCTTTAAAGCTATCTTTTATCTTCCATTGCATGTTGACATCCCTCATCTTAGAATTTGGGTTTGGGGTTAATTCTACTCTATAAAATCGATTTGTAAGGTGAGAATTGTCCCTTACTTATATAATCTTTAATTGTCTTATTTTTAGTTGATATGGGATTTATATTTTTTCCAATACACCCCCTCACACCTAATACTATTGGGTTTGATGCGAGTATCAATGGTGGGTGGCTTTTTTTAGAGTGAATTTAGATAGTTGTGATACCATCTTAGAGTGTGGATTTGAGCCTAACTCAACTCTACAAAACCGATTTGTAATGTTAGGATTGGCCCCCACTTATATATCTTTAATTGTCTTATCTCTATTTGATGTGAGACTTGGATTTTTTCCATTACCTCATGATTCAGGCCTTGGAAATAGTTTTGGGAATTGTAACAACATTGAAAGAAGCAACAAAGGATTTGGAGGAAGGAGAAAGTTGCTCATACTCATATTGAATAAAGGGAGCAATAAGATGATGAATGACACAAATTTGGACCTTATGGCAATGGGAAGATCTAAAGTTGGATTTTGAGATGTTGGGATGGACAAAGGGGGTACATGGGGATTATGCATACACTATTCGAAGGAATGGCCAAGGTGGTGAGAAAGAACGAACTTTTGCTAAGGAAGATGTAGATTCAGAGTTAGATTGCCTGTGTGTACTAAATGTACAATAAAGTGACAAGAAACTAATGAATTCATCCCATTTCTTCTGTTCAGTAAATGAATTTCATTTGATGAGTTCTATTGATATCCCATTAGATGCTCAAGTCAGTTCCCATTAGTTTGTTGATAATATGCACATTATTATTTTTACTACTTGATATTTTATGTAATTCATATCTTGATTTTTGTTGTCAAATTCTACAACATTGGCAGCCAAGTCTTATACCACTTGATGGGGTTGGCTATGTGGATAAATCAATGCCATTAGGTTGATGGCTTCTATCAGAAAACAAATTATTAGTAAAACTGTCAGTTTAATTCTGATTAAATTCGCTTCTTTGTAGGAGATGGAAAGATCCAGTTGCCACCAGCTTAGTTTGAAGAACATGGCTGAATCACTAAAATCACTAGGTATGATAAGTGATTTGACTTTAAGAAGCTTGATTTTTTATTTTTTTATTTTTCACTTGGATGAATTGCAAATCCCTCACACTCAAACTGTGACACACAGGGAGCATAATACATCCTTTACTCATAAGAATTGAATTATGCAACTCTTTTTTCTTTTTAAAATCAAAATAAAATGTAACATTTCTAAAATTTGTATAAGTCAAAACTTGTCTTTATATTGCACTGTGGATTGGTGTAATTAGATTGTTTTTCAATTTGAATCTATGATGTGTTGTTAAAGAATATTTATCCAGTGATAGATTTTTGTAAGATGATTAAGTAATTGAAATTGGATTTTCACCCAGGTAACAAGGCTATGCAATCTAAGAAATACTCTGATGCAATTGACTTGTATAATGCTGCCATTGCACTCTATGAAAAGAGTGCTGTCTACTACTGCAACAGGTATTCCTGTTTTATATTGTCTCAAATATACCATGTTTTTAGTATATCACCTTGTAGATAGGGTTTGGAAGAGCTTATGACTCCCATAAATTCTATTTAGTTTATATATTTGTTTGGATAAACTTCTCCATAAATACTTGTAGAGAAAAAAAAAGGTAAAATGAATTAAGTTTCTTTCATAAGCTAAAATCAACTTATGTACTTGTTAGAAAATCTGAGAAATATCTTTGTTTTTTTTTTTTTATATCTTAGAATATTTTAGAGTATCCTAGATGATCTCTTAGAATTTATTCTTCTTTTATATTTTATGATTTTGTTACTTTATTTAGTTAGGTTTAGGATTCTATATTTAGTATATGAAGGGCTATTTGGTTATCATTTGTAATCACCTCATTACATCGTAATAATATCAATCTTATATTATTTTGATTCTCTATTATTTCCTTTTCTTCTTCCCTACCTAAAAAATATTTGAATACAAAATTAATTTTTATAGAAGCTTTCTCATCTAACTTCACAAAAAGCTAAAGTGCACATTTGATTTTAGCTTTGATGAAAATTTTACATCGATTAGTGAAGAAGGCTATAATAGTGTATACAAGTAGGGAGTAATCCTCATCTTACAAGTTAGTTTTGTAAAATTGAGTTAAGTTCCTAATTCACTTTCTTAAGATAGTATTAGGATCTATTCTTATTATTGTTAAGTTTATCAGGCCACCCGTTGTTTGACTGTCATCAAACCACCCGTAGTTGTTTAGTCCTGCAAACTTTACATTCGAAATGTATTGTTCTTGATGTGAGAGGGTGTGTTGGAAATCCTACATTAATTACTGAGAAGGTCATAATAGTGTATATAAGTGAGAAATAACCTTCATTTTACAAGCTGATTTTGTATGGTTGAGTTAGGTGCTTGATACACTTTCTTCAAAAGCTTATTAGAGAAGCTAAATTCATTACCTCATTTTTTTATGGAGAAGTTTATTTAGACATGTTCTATTTCAATAAGTTTCTTAGTATAGCTTATCAAAATAAGCTCTTTTTGAATCACTATGATCGGTTTAGTAGTGGGAGCTTGAGGTAGTATACACAAAATCCCAAGTTTGAACTCAGGTGCCATCATTGTAATTCCGATTGTAAAAAAACAAATGCTCTTTTTTGCTTATTCCAATAAGTTTCATGGTTAAATTTATGGCATCAACATTCATGCTTATTAAATAAGTGTTTAATTAAGTTATTTACCTTAATATACCACATGGTGGGGGTGGCAAGACATTGTTAATGGTAATAATAGGATTTTGTGGGATAGCAAATTTTATTTCAAAGTAAGCTTGCTATGTTCTGTACACTCTTGAATAATTATGAGAAACAAGTTCTGTAAGGTTCTAAATGTATGTTTTAATATGGAGTATAGAAAAGAACTAAAGACATCTGCTTTAACTAAAGACATCAAGTCAATTTGTTTTGGCTAGCGTCCTTTAGGTTCAAAATATCCCTTACCCTTGAAGAACGGAAATAGGAGTGATGGTGGATCACAATACCTCTTTTTATTTGTCTACTTTCAAATGCATCTTTCTTTATTTGGTTCAGATTTCGGAATATAATTCTGTGGACAGTTGTCTGGTTCAGATTACCTTAGGAACCAGTTTATTTAACTGATGAATCTGCATTTTGTGCCTTCATTTTTTGACACATATCAGAGCAGCTGCTTACACTCAGATTAACAAATATACAGAAGCAATCCAAGATTGTATTAGATCTATCGAGATCGATCCAAACTACAGCAAGGCATACAGTCGTCTGGGTATGGCTTATTATGCACAAGGAAATTACAGAGACGCTATTGAATTAGGATTTAGAAAAGGTTGATAAAGGATTATATTCTTACCCTTATTTATTCTTGTAATTTGTTTTATTTTATGTTTTTACTTGAAATCATCTGGAGAATGTTGACTTCATTGTTATCTACTGTTACATATCACCTTACTAATGCAATGTTAATCAATACTTGGAGTTTTTCTCCAAGTTCATATTTAGTTAGCTTTTTTTTTTTCATTTGGGCTTCCTATTCCTGCAGGAGCATGCATGTTAAGAATTGATTTTACCGACAATGCATTCTGTATTTATCAGAATTATAGTTAGAATTTGGAATTCTAGCATTGGTTCCAAGCTGATTGGAATTTGGAAATGATAAATCCCGTGAATCTCAAATTCAATTTATTTTTCTTAACATGATGTTTTGTGTTTCTGCAGCTTTGCAGTTGGATCCAAATAATGAGACTGTCAAAGAAAATATACGGGTTTGTTCAGTTTTTCCTTTTCATTCTTCTTCTCTTACTACTTTTCCCATGTGATTGTAATGCTCTTGTTAACCACAGGTAGCCGAGGGTAAGTTGTCAGAAGAGATACACCATGCATATCAGCATCACAACCAGGTATTATTATTATTATTATTATTAAATTCAGTTATTATCCATATCTATGTCTTTGGTACTGCATATGATCATAGCTACAGTATACTTTTAATTTGTATCATATGTACTGCATGATTTGGGAGTACGAATCCTTCTTTGCTCTCTTTTTACCTTCCAAAATAATATTTAGATAAGAAATTGTTATAGCGCAATTTAAAATAACATTTTCCCAAAGAAATACATGATTTTATAGTTATTGTTCTCTTCCAGTTCCACAAGCTCTCTTTTTGAACTCCCCTGTTCCTAAGAATCATACTGATGTTACTTTCATGTAGTTTTGTTCATATATCTCTCTTTATTTATAATCTATGAATTTAATGTAGTTGTTACTTCACTAAAATGTAAGCAAGCATTTTTTCTTTTCTCCTTCATTAAGCAGCGACTTCAATTTTTTCCTTGTTGATAAGTTATTTCTATTAAGGTAGCTATAGCATTTTGATGACTGATTGCGACATTGCTCTAACACAATGTCTCAACTAAACAACTTTTTCCTCTTCATTCTCTAAAGAATCCAAGACCATCTCAAGAATTTCCAAACCTATCTGCACGAGGATCAAGAAGCCAAGCAGCACCACCTCCATTTTCCTCTGTGCCATTTAACCCGAATGATCTTGCAAACATGTTCATGAACATAGCCGGGAACGCTACGCAGCAGGGGTCACATTCTGTGGAAAGGCAAGAAGATACCAATAATAGTGGTGGAGCTAGTGAACCTGAAATAAGGATTGGGGGCAATATTAGTGTAAACCTTGACCAAATGCCTGAGAATCTAACAGGGGCCTTCCAATCTATGATGGAAATGTTATCTGGGTCTGGGGTTGTACCCCCTGGACAACCACAAGATCATATGAATGGAAGAAATAGAACAGCACCAAACTAGGCTACTTCAGCATTATGAGACTGTAAAGACTTGCAAAATTGTTACATTTTTTTGCTGTTTAATTTTTTGAACAAGATTACAGCATTAACTAACAAGGTTGTCGCCTATAGAGCTTTTGAGGCCCTATCCTTTAGGGAAACAGAAATACAGAATTAATTTTCATTGATGCAATATCCTTGCTTTTTTCGGTTATGAAGTTTATGGATTTGGACGAGTGATGATTTACTAAGGGGCATAGTTATTGTAGCCAAGTTCAGGTTATTTCTTACAAATTTTTGTTGTGTATGCTGTGAAGCAAAGGATTTTTTTGTCTCATCCTTTAAGAAAGGTTTCAAGTTGAAGGAACGGTGTGGCTGCTGCAGTCTTATAGTCTGAATCATGTAGTATCTGGCAATTAAGTGAATTTATTTGCAAAATCTTGTACATGTAAGTTCAATATATTATGATTTTGGCATGATAGTTATCACTTTTTGTGTCGGTATTATTTAATAAAAAGAAAAGATTTTTATTCCTTGGTCTAACTTTATCAAGAAAAAAATTGAGAAAATATACATAAGAGGAATGTTACTAATAATTTTTTAAACACTTATTTTTTTAATACTTTCTTTGCTATTGGTTGGAATTTATAAAAAGAAAATTACAAATTGTGGTTGGCTTTATGTTTTACATTAGAGAAAATGTTGTTAAGATGTAAAAATGATTTGACACGTACTTAAGTATATGGTGGGATATTGATTAATGTGGAAGAATGGAGGGTGAGAAAAAGTGTAGGTGGTAGTTTCGTAGAGTCCGTGAGCAGCTTCCACAAGGGTGTGGTCCAGTCCAACTCATGCCGGGTGTGTTGAATGTTCGTATCCTATGTTACATTACAAGTTCCAAAAACTATAGCAAATTCCCATTTTTCTCATCTCACCCAATGAAGGTACTATTTATTTCATTTGTCACAAACTTTACGTTGTTATTTTCACTAATTATTGATCCCCTAGATCATATGACTAATAGTACCTTAGAAGTTGTTTGCTATATAATAAATTTTAGAGGATAATTATAAATTTACTTCATATTTTTTGCCATATACATTATTTTTCTAGACATATTCAAAGGTGGACCTTCATTATAGGTGGTCCATCATTTACCATACTTAATGACCTAGACTCCTAACAAACAACCCCCTAATGTTGACTATTGTGCACCACCAAGGCATCAACTACCACCGTTATCTCCATCACTCCTCAACTCCATGACCTTTCTACCCTTAACTTCTCAAAACATTTTATTGAAGTTCTGAACCAAACAAGCATCAGAAACCATGTTTTGCAATTCTAGCTTATTATCCCATGGACATAATAAGAAGCAACCAAGTTAAACATCCTGATGCATGCTTTTAATATAACTGGTGGTGATCATATGCAGTACCAAAAGTCTTCTATAGTAGTTTCTTCATATGTGAATTTAATTTATAAAGAAACTAAAAAAAAACTTATTTTTTATTTTTCTTGAAAATACTTATAAATAAATTTTATCTACATAAACTCTAAATATAAATATCTTTCAACATAAATTTAAACCTTAATTCACCTTGTGAAACCCCTCCTGCCAATAAATTTAGTAACAATAACTATTACGAATGAAAGTGTGCTAAAGAAAATATTTAACATTTTGTCTATGTTTTGAATGACAGACATTACTCAATTACACTTATACGCATATCTTGGTCTCTTCTCCATACTTCCATTCTAATTGTATTACGTGTCTTAAGTTGCGAGTGGAGGAAACACTTTTCTACGAATAAATCCACCTTGTACGATCTATCAAAGTTTTATAGTCAAAAAGTTTGGATAAGGTAATGTAACAAGATCCTCCTTACTTTAGGTCGTGAACCAAACTATTATTATTTATAGTAAATTTTAATTTTTATACATTATTAATTAAAATCACTTTATATAATTTCTAAAATAATTATTATAAAACAAACAATCTTATCATATATATGTACTATCCATTCTGAATAAAAAAGTATAAAAGTTTTATATTTTTGGTGTATTTATATTTTTTTAACTTAAAAATATTTTTAGTTCATGATATATATATATATATATATATATATATTGTAT